ATCACAGACCATCAGCATAAAGTGTTCTCTCTGCAAGCAACTGAAAACCTGCCATGTTCTACATCAACTAAAATCTCCAAGTAATTCAAAGGCTTACCACATTTTAGAACACGCTACAGAAATCCCTTCCTGAGGTAATGAATTTGGATCATTGATACAAAGCTTTTTTTTTTTTTTTCTGAGCAGAGGATACTCATAAAAGCCTGAGGATCCTACTGCAGTCCCACAAACACCAAAGTAATGGGGTGGAAGTGAAAGGAGGATGAGAGAAAATTCTGCTGAAAAAATCCAAATCGTAACTACTATCCTATTGCTCTACCTTAGGGAAAATAATGGTATCATACTATTTGTATGGGTGCATGACATGACTGCATGGCATGTTGATATTGCTCAAGATACTGCCCATGCAAGAGATGTATCCTGACTTCTTGAGGAGCAACAGAGTTTCTTCGCAAAGAGGTTTAGTAGCATATGAAAGATCATACTAAAGAAATACCCTGGGCAAAAATTTCACCACTTAACCAATGATAACTGGACTAGAAAAAAGAGAGCTGATGACCTGTAAGTTTACCTACAGAGGCAGTAAGATCAACTTTCACAGTGTAATTTTTTTTCTTCTTTATTACTACTAATCAGCCTCTGCTGTATTTTTAATATGCACATGGTACAGCTCTGGATCAAGCTTTTCTCTCCAAAAATTAACTCCAGAAACTATCAGGACAGCACGTGGCATGTTCAGCCATAACCACATTTCATTGGGCCATATGAGCAGATATTATCTCTGCACATAAAAAAATCTGGAGTATCAGGGTTTATGCTTCCATCTCCTCATGAAAGATATACCTTATCAAGGCCCAATATACATCTAATAGCTAAGGCTATGTCGTTATATTGCAACATATCATAATATTTCTCAAAGACAAATTATCTAGAGATAAAATGTAATAAAACATTGTTCCTGTTTTTATATATGCCATGAGTTATCAGGAATGCACTTTTAGTTATTTTGAAACAACACTGGACAGAGGAAGGAGGAACCAAGAAGATTATACAAGAGCTGAACAGTTTTGAGTCAGTCTAAGTTTAGATTCAGTAGGAAAAAAGCTCTTAAGTGAAAGATGAATCTGACAAGAACCATCTAATTAGTTCTCTCACACATATTCCACTGGTTTACTACAGAAAGAAGCACTTTTCAAGTGTCAAAGACTTTGTAAATTCAAAGGCATCAAGGAAAATTCTGGAACCTATTTTGTACCATTTCACCTTGGAGCTACCATAATAGGACGAATGCTTTGTGCACGTGAGCAGGAAAGAAATATTTTTAATCTCTTCATGAGAGAAAAAGGAAGATCACAGTTGTTCCTACTCAGTCGTGTATTGCAAGAAGATATCTGACAAAGGAAAGGAAGCACAGTAGCATATTTGCTTTATGGACATGCACTCCATTCACACAAGCCCTCTTTGCGTTTTAGGCACAGAGAGAGAGTCCTTTTAGATGAAAATGCTTTCTTTGGGGGTGACATCAGTTTCCCTGTGCAGAAGTCTTGCCTTGCAATTGCACACGAGCACCTTCAACATCCTGATGTCACTCATTTAGAAGGGATAACAGAAGCAGGACTTCTCTCTTTTGGCTGGTTTAATTACCCCGACAGGATGCCAGCCCAGACGAGATGGTGCTTCCAGGTTCACTGTACTGTATGCATTTCTGATAAATGGGAAAAGAATAGATGACCTGGCAGAAGGCTCAGACAATAACATGTGATTTACAGGACATGAATGCAGCTACTATAAGATTTATCTGACAGCCCTCTCCGATAGTGGACTGTTGAGTATCCGATGGAATGATTTCTAGTCTGGAAAGTCTGCTACTGAGTAGCCATACACATTATTTATTTATTAGATGTTTTGGGTTGAAACCATTTTTAAATGATGCACTTCACAATGCTCAGCCATAAATTTAGTTTTAAACCCTAGAAGGGAGGTAGTGTTATTGGAATGTGTGTCAGACTGAATTAGGATGAGCAACACAACGCTTTTATAAAGTGGCCTTGAATGCAACGTCGATTCTTTCAAAAATGATATTAATGTCAAATAAGCAGGAACGCTTTGCAGTAATATTAAATGAAGGATTCTTTATGTTTTGATAGATTTATAGAAATGTAAGTATACATACAGAGATATGTCTCAAAATGTAGTGTGTCTATCAAAAACCTGGTTTTGTCTTAGAAAAAGCTTTTTGTGTGTATCTCAAACCACCTGTTTCTCTTTTTGCCTCTGTTAAATACAAAGCAATATACCAACATGCACACACTAAACAAATACAAAAGCAACAGTCTTTTTCCATATGCCTAAATATATGAAATTTAAAAAAGAAAAGAAATTAACCAGATGTCACAAATAGCTCCACAGAATAGTACCACTTCATTTTTTTTTAAATCAATTCAGCTAGGAAAGAGCTTTATTTTCACAATTTTACAAAAAAATTACTTGTGCAATATTGTTATGCTATTTTGCACTTCTGAGGAAAAAAAAAACATATTTCAGCCACAAATCTAAATAAACATCAGGAAGAAGTCGTATGTTTAAGAAAAAACAATCCAACGGCTTACACTGGATATACAACGTTTAAAATGAATTTTGAGAAGAGGTTATCGTACAAACACCAAAGATTAATCAAAGCAATCTTTCAATTTCATAAAGTGATGGCTGACAAATTTGTGAAGTTTTAAATCAAATTTGCAGATACTTACTTCGTAACTATGCCACATTATTTATGTGATTAAAAACTGTTTTTTGACCTGATCTTTTGATCTTTGGCACTTCATCCTCTCCATCTCCTCTTAAAAATTAATTAAAATTTTAGCAAAAGGATATCACTTCATTTCCCACCCTATCTTGCAGGGACAAAAACAGAAAAGAAAAAGGAAAAAAAAAAAAGAAAAAAATCAATCAAGCTCAACCCCATCTCCTCCCAGTATCTGTAAAATGTCGGCTTGAAATTCAATTTCATATCTCTCAAGCTTTCATGTAGCAAAAGACAGTTCACTTCTTAACAAAATAAATCACTTCTGTGATTGCCATGCTGACCTCTTTGAATTAGGAAAATTCAAAGTGAAAAATGTAATTATCACCCCCGAACAATCTGTATACATCTGGAGCTAATTTTAGATTCATTTCTCACATCATTTTTCATATTCTGCCAAAAATTACAGCTGCTATGCAACTTTAAAAAGACTTTGAGGTCTTGGCAACTTTACTGGTTTATTTCTACTATTTCACAAAGAACAACCTCGGACTGTGCAACCAGCCCTGCTGAGCAATCACGATAGCTTCAATTTGATTAGATTAGCATTAAAGTGGCATTGTGACACATATGACAAATAGATGCATTAGAGCACGTCATTTATTCCTTATCCTTTCCACTTCCCAAAACCAAACAAGTGACGTACAGTACAGAGCACAACATGATTTTAAGAAAGATTAGATTACCCTACCAAAAAAAGAGGGAAAGGTCAAGCACTAATTATTGATACAAGTAGCGTGGACACCGAAAACTAATTTTTTAAAATGGTAATACCAAGCTGTCAGACACATATTTAATACTCAGATTAGTTTTACTCTAGCGCATTAATGAATGAACAGGTAAAATTTGTATATGGATTTCTTGGTAGCAAAGATTCTTTTCTAATCTAAATCAGCTGCAAGTTCACACTCTAGAAGTTGTGAACAACGTTTACTTCCAGTATTGCCATACGTAAATTAACAATCTCTAAATTCCAAAAGTTCCAAGAGGAATATTAAGTTCCTTTCAGTGTAAAAAGATATTGCATTTCCTGAGGAAGATGGAAAAGTAGATGAGCAAAGTTCTAGTTACATTCATTAATAATAACCTCACTAGAAAACATAACTACTCTTCACTAGTTCATTGTAAAATCTATTAGGTGTAATCTCCAGAAGTAATTGTTCTTATTGCACTTTATTGACAATGTAGACTATCGATTTTTCACACCTTCTATGATTCTTTCATTTGTATTCATGAAATGTCTATCAGCACACTCTAAATAAATTTGGCAATATAGGCACTAAAACGAATAAATCGATGTGAAGAAACATTAATTTTGCATTATCCTTATTCGTCAGGCAAGCAAACCATAAGGGTTGTAAATGAAGGTCAAAGGTTTTGAAATGGGTCAGAACCCTTGACCTCCAGACCAATACCATTCCCATTAAAAAAGGCTATTTTAAAGTTTTAAGTAGGGGAATTTACTACCAGAAAGGTATAATTTTTAAGGCACCAAAAGAAGGGTTCAATAAAAACAGTCTTCCGTTTAATTACAAAAAAAAAAAAAAAAGAAAAAGAAAACAAGAAACCCCAAAAGAAAATCCAATTAATACAGCATACACAATTTAAAGTAAGTTCCTTAGGCTCTGGCTCTTTTCTAAACATGGGAATAGGTCACTTCTTTATCTAAAATCACTTTGCCTTTAGGAGTGGAGAATGTACCAATCTGCTGACAACCAGGGTTGCTTCCTTAAATTTTTCTCAAATTCTTAGTACTTGTCAAATCAATTAAGAGTGACAGGGTTTCAAAAGTATTTATCACTTGTTTCGTAACCTCTAGACAAAAGGAAAAATTCTATTTATCCCAGAGGATTCCGCATGTCAAGATGCAGAAATCAATGTTTCTTTAACTTTAATATTTTATTGATCCTATTTTATCTTATAAAAATGACAGCACAGAATTACTTAGGCACACCATCTTCAAGGCTACGTAAATACTCAATAGCATGATAATGCAAAACCATTCATATCTTCTCTCTTGAACTGAATAGACACAATATGATTTTGCTTTTAATCAAAAGGCCTTGTACATTATCTCTTTACGTATTTCATATAAACTTAAAGTCAAATTTGAAGTCAAATTTAGTGTCGAATTTTAACTGTAATTTCCATTGTGTTCAAAGACAGCAGTTTCAGACATTGCTACTTAAAATCTCACCTGAGAGCAAAGAAGCATCACCAGCTCCACAACTGAACTGCTAGATTTCATGCATACAAGGCCTACAAAAAGAAAAAAGTACACATAAATGCATGTTTATATGGCACCAGCTACTAACACAAACTGTTTTGAAGTTCAATAGACTAGAAGCACTTTGAAAAACAAAAGAAAACTGAAATTCTTATACCACCAATAGCAATACAGCTAATAGTAATACATTACCCCCATTATTCCCCTAAATGTTTGTATGTCAAAATGATCAGGAGTGTGGTTAACATATGTTATATTAATCCACTGTATCTACATTTTGCTATTTCTTGAAGGATTGGGTCATTATATATGCAGAGAAGGGAAATGGCTTTATGACCTTTGCTTTCTCCATTGCGCGTTCTCCTTTCAGCCCCCAGCTATCAATCAAGTTTCCATTTTGTTTCATGGCAGCAGACATCCCAAACACTCTTATTAGTACTTTGACCCCTAACCCCACACTAAACCTTAGCAGAAGTGCAAGCAGTAACCTATTATATATATTTTCAATTGTTTATAAACTAATTTGACTATTATTATTTGGGTTTGCATTTTGTTTGGTGTTTTTCTGTAACTGGATTTTAGGCCCAAAAATTGGTTTCATGTGTTTATTTTTGTCTAGACAGTTCATACACTCTCAATAATTATCCTGCCTTTTTTTTTTTTTTTTTTTTTTTTTTTTTTTTTTTTTTTTTTTTTTTTTTTTTTTTTTTTTTTTTTTTTTTTTTTTTTTTTTTTTTTTTTTTTTTTTTTTTTTGGTCACCCAATCTATGAAATATTCATCTATCTGTGTATATAACCTATACTACAGTCAAAATACTTTGAAACAGATCACCTATTATCTTCAGAAAAGAAAAAGAAAATGTAACTAAATAGAATATTTACTTCTTTGGCAAATCGGAGCTTTAAGGAAAATCACTTTTCTGTTTTTTATTAAATAAATGAAATAATTTTGTTCACAAGGCAGCTTCCATTAAAATGTTTAGCAGCTAAGGTGATGCCCACATGGATGAACAGAAGTAGAATCCCATCTTCTTGAGTCTCACAGAAGGCAATTCGTACACTTCTTCCTTCCATTTCTTCCTACTCAAAACAGTAAGCAAGCTGAAATCCTAAACTAAATAACTTTAATTTCATTGAGGTTTAGCAAAGTCTAGATTTTGATATAGTCAGTCTTCAGGAAAACACTTGACAGTGTTTGATCCTCTCATTGTGTTTGTGCCAATGTTAACTATATTCAGCACTATAATACGGCATGACTGTCCTAATTCAAGAAACACTTAGTTCCAAAAATGTTTTTTAAGAGGAACTTTAACTCCCTAGGAAGAAACTGGATGTATTAGCCCAAATACAGCTCACGTGCAAGTTATCAGCCAGAGTTAAGCAACCATGAGATCCTACCATGAGTGCACTTTTCACTGGAAGCTCCAACAAGCTCTGGCTCTAATTCCAGTCACCTCTTTAACTAGACAAAATCTGCAACTTTCTCAAAATTCAGTGGACAAAGCATATGATACAGTGAAGTTATGAGAAAACTGAAAAACTGGTGTCACTACTAAACTCACAGCGCTCCAATAGACACAATTTTTTTAATTGAGCATGTTAATGTCTGCATTGCAGAACGGAGCCTCATTTTTAAACAGAGAAATCCACCTGTAGAAAGAAAAGTCCATCAGTGCCAGAGAATTATTCCCAATACTGACAACATATTCTTCTTACCTGTATGGCTGCCTTCCAACTGGAAACCAGAAAGGCAGAAGCAGACCCACATGCAAGACATAGACCAGAAACATGCTCTACTGACTTAGTTCCCAAGAAGCCTTCTGCTATAACATCCCAGTAAAAATGCAAGGTCTTTGTGCTTAACTTTCTACATTATACACTTTAGTTTGCAAAAAAGTGTTGACCATGACAACCAATTTTTTTTTTAAGGCTCACAAAACATATTTCATACACCAGCTTCTATAGGACAATTTGCTGGAAGAGTTGGAAAACTAAGGAAGAGACAACTGTAGTTGGTCTCTCATAATGAGATACAGGAAATTATGAGATGAGATGGGCACAAAGAGGTTGCAGAGATGGTAAAAATGAGGAGGCAATGACAATGACCTCGGGTGACTAAAGACAGAAGGAACTGGAGGAAGAGAAATCCAGTGAACAGCACTGTTAGGAACTGAAGGAAGAAATCTTCTAAATAAAGAAATCTTGTGTCTCCAAAGTAAAACAAAGCACACCTTAAAAAAAAACTTTTTTTAAATGGAAACTTACTTGTACCTTCTATCAGCAACTCCTGCCCGTGACTGCCCAAAAGAGTCCGAGAAAGAAAGGGAGCAAAATCCACAAAAATCTCTCTCAGAAGTGGGGCAGCTTTTTCCAAAGCATGTTCAAGCCTGTCTGTAATACTAGTAGAGAGATACATGTAATTAGCAAGAAGAAAGATACTGAAATTTCATAAAAACTAATACAGATTTTGACAATGTTAAGTGGTATGTATAAGAAGGAATTAATAATCTGCTACTCAGTATTTTCCCAAACCCTCATTAGGTATTGAATATCAGCAGAAGAAAATTCTTAAGTTATGTGGAAAAAGAGTATCAACTGTAATATCAAAAATGTGAGCCACAGCACAGCTGTTCAGTCGTTCAGTTGAAGAAGTTACCTCATATTTGAGGCGGAATCCTCAGGCACTGAAGAAACTGTAGGAACAGATGGCAATTTTGAACTGGATGATCCCCTTCCTACAAGAGAAAGTAATAATAAACAAATTATAGAAAAATATATTACAGAGATTAGAAAATCAGACCAGAAACTAAAGCCTTGAGCTTGATCTCTGAGAAATCATGGGTTTCAAGTGTTGTGTGAGAACTAGGTAAAAACCCTTTACCTCTTCGTACCTCAAACATTTTCTTCCAGAAGAGTCACATTTACTTGCATTCATATTTATGAAGTATGCCATGGCAAGCTTTTTAAATGCTGCTCTAGTACAAATAGAAAGTAATTCAAGGAAGTATTGCAGTTTGTTTTGTGAAGGAAGTCAGACTAGACTGCAGTGATCCCTTTTAGTCTTATAAGCCATTATTCTCATTGAACAAATTCAGTAATGCAACCTTAACGAATACAAACAATGTCTTACACCTTTAATGTTCCTGTAATGTGCTAATATATATATATAGTAACACTAATATATAATAAAGCCAAATAGTAAAAAGTTTTAAAGCATCTCTTCTGGTTACAGGAAGTGCTCATGTAATTTCAAGTAACTTGCACAGTATTTTTGTATAAAATTAAAATACATTTGTGTCAAAATCACGCAGAAAACAAAATGAGTGGGTATTTCCAAGACCCTGCCTTTAACTTTTGCAACATTAGGACTCCAACAGAGACAGCTATGATAAAATTTTCCATTGCATTGCCAGTGTCATTAGCACGATGGCAGTGGTATAACCTCATTTATGAGTTATTAACTTTGCCACATCAATTATTCAGAGGGTGATAGGGAAGACTGGGTCACTTATGTATCCTACACTTAAAAAAAAAAAAAAAGGCAGTTGTGTTACGTCAAATTGACACTACATGGCTCTCATCAGCACAGGAGGAATCTGTAAATATTAAATTCTGCAGTTCAGTATATAAAGAGAAATACAACCTCCATACTGCAGTATGGATTGGTATTAGCGATGATGAACAGGGGGTAAGCCAAGACAGCCAGAGACTTCACAGATATTTTCTGCCAGGATAGGAATGGTGACTCACAAATCTTACACTGCATTCCAAACTACAGAGAGGAATGAATATCAGCAGACAGATTTCTGTGCATTTCCCAGGAGCATGACTGCTTCTAGTCCATATGCAATCCTATCTCTTTCCACCCTTAGACCCTGTCCTATTCTCTTTCCTCTCACCTCGCCACTTTCAGATTCTTATGCTGCTGGAGAAGAGGGGAGGGGGGGAAAAAGGAAAAAAGCATGAAGGAAGAGAGTTTAATCATTTCAGTTCTCACATCTACCTTAGCAAAGACATGACCCTTCTCAGAACTGTAACTATAGAAACATTCCTGATGGTCCCACCTACAATGGTGTGCGCTCAGTTAAATGCAACCTGTCTGGAAATCAGCTGCTAAGATCTTGAAACTGTCTACCAAAATGTGTCAACTGTAACTCTTCAAAGTCTCTTAACCTGACTGAAGTGGAATAGATTTGAAAAGTGATGGCAAAGACAGATCTTTGAGATTGTGAGTTTATTTCTCCTGTCAAATTTTAAACTTCTGCTCCAAAACTGTGGCACACAGAGCCTCCTCCAAGAAATGTTGGGGTTTTGTGGTAGTAGGGTGGGTTTTTTTGTTTTTCTATCCAGGGAAAATGTTTTTTTCTAATCTTGTTTCAAAGACATCATAGAAAGTAATAAAATAAACTACAGCATCAAAATAATGAAAAGTTTCGCTCTTACTTCTTTTTCTTTCTTCACAGGCAGGAGATATCTTTGTGACTGTGATTCACTTATGCCTTTCAAAAATTCAACCTGTAGCTGTATGGGGATGATGGGATCAGAAGGAAATTGAGTGGGCCATACAGAATGAAGGATAAGAAAGCAGTGAACAAAGTGTTAGCTGAAAGTAAAGCGAAACATCAATCTTCTGGGCATTGTATCCTAAATAATTTATCCAATAAAGGCTAATCAAATATATACTCCTGGAAGTTTCAACAGTTATGGCTAGATTTTGGAGATGTTTCAATATTTTCAGGGATATTATTTCATTTCTTTAAGATCTCGTTTTACATAGTCAAACCACCAAAAAGTATTTTGGGCATTCCCAAAGGAAAAGCTGTCAAATGAAGTGCCAAAAATTAGGACAAAGCTTCCTGAACAGAAAAACAAAACAAAGCCCACAGAAGGAAGCAAGCCACATGATTCAGTGATTCCAATGACTCCAGTTGTTTGTCAGATACTTAACAGCTTTTTAAACTAATTTTTTTTTTAAATTAAGATTTTAAAACAATTATTTCATTTTTCATGATAACCTTTATTTGAATAGTTTCACTAGAATTCTCAGCTTTCTCCCTAAAGCCCAACATCCCCATTCTCATTTAACAAAGCCCTTCTAGCTTAAAAATATTCTCAAGTCCACATGCCCAGTAGTGGATTTACCCCTACACTGTCCATAAGGAGAAATCAGCACATTGGTCTGGGTAGTTCAACACAACACCAAACTGAAATGGACTCCAAAGCCTTCAAAATGAGAAAGTCCTCTCAACACACAGACTGTGTCTGCAGAATGTCTAGTAATGTAAATGTTCAAATGCTTTTTATTACATCTAAAATCTGTGACCAGTAATCCACTACTTATTGGGTATGGTTATAAAGTCAATAATATATACAACTGAAATTCCACCCTATTAAATGCAAGGATCATTTTATCAGTATAAAATAAGACTTGACAGTGTAGCGTAACAGCGTGAGTTTTACAATTAAATGAGATGAAAATAATTCTATGCAATATTTAGGCCATCAGCAAAATAAATAAGGGGAAAAAATAGAAAAAAGATCAAGGGAAACATCTGCAAGGACAATGAAAGGGCATAATAGCCATCATGAGGCTAATAAAGAGACATAATCTCAGTCTAGGGTAACTTGGGCTTTTTGCTGTTTTATTTTTGTGGATAGGTTGGGGTTTTTTTGGTTTTCCGTTTTTTCAACACAACTGCTAAAAACAGTTTGAGTGGGAGATAAAGGAAATCACTGACAACACAGGACACGATTGTTTTTTCTTCTAGAAATAAAAACAAACTGTGCAAAACAGATTATGCTTAAATGTAAAACTTGGAAATTTTAGGTTAAACTAACTTCTAAATATAGACATAACAGAAAAAGCATTGATCATCTGAATTTGACAATAGCCTAAGGCAGGCATCTACATAAACTGATGTTCTTTTTTTGAAGATTACATGGAGATATTTATGGTCTGAATTTCTTCAGACTTATCAACACCTAAGCCCACATTCCAAACTCAGATGTATTTCACTAAAAGGGGTGAATCTCTGATTTATTGCAGCTGAGAATTTCCGTGGCGTTTTTCAATAGGATTAGGCATAGTGATTTCTGCATGCAAATTTTGTTTTGTGGAAGTACTTTTTTTACTTTATTTAACTCAGAGGTGGCTTTTCATTCTACTTTTCCTGCCTTTCGTGAAAAAGATGAAAATACTTCAGTAGCATATTTTCATCCACAACACACATGTGGGTAAGTGCAGTAGCTACTTCAAACATGTGGAACTAAACTGACTTATCTCTTCCTTATCCTTTCACTGATAAACTGGCTCCTTCAAACTGACAGTTTTACAGACATTTGCAAGAACATAAAAGAAAATGCAAATAGATCATCTGTCTAGCACCCTTACAGTGAAGCCTTATTGTTTATTCAAGGTCCTCAAGGGTCTAAACAAATAAGTGTCTCTAGTAATAAAATATTGCTAAAGAAACTCCTTGTGCAAGATCCTTATGCTTTTACATATACACTTACGAAGTACACTTGGCAATACACAAGCAGTACATGAGGATATACTTGACTCTCTGAGAACAGAGATGAGGTAAAAAGAATAAGAGTTGAATTAAATAATCATACCCCTTAATTTTGTACAACAGACCTGCTGTACACTGATGCCCTTTGTGGAAGAGGCATCCAGCAAAATAATGAGCTTATTCAAAAATACACTTCCGGGGCTGGAAGTGCACAATGCAAGACTACAATGAAAGGTTTTACAAGCTAATATAAGGGATCTGTTACATAAACACATCTGTAGGCTAAAACAAAACAGACTTCATGAAACAATGGTGAAAACTTCTCTTAAGAGAAGTGGCTTTAAAACAGTTTTTTCACTGACACAATAGTAAGCCATTTCCATTGCATATCATCAGCATTTGAGATTTTTAAAAGTGTCATTTTGCTCTGGTAACTCACCTTCAATTACTGTCACTGTAAAGTTGGAATTCTCTTTGAAACAGCTACTATAATCCAGCGAATTTCTTCAACAACCTCAACACTGACGGTAACTTACTTCACACTCATTTTTCTTACTTTATCTTGTCTCCTGCTAATTTATTTTACCGCAAGACTTCAAGTTCATTTTCATGTATGTATAAAAATCAATAAATACCATTCATCTTCGCAAAACAAGCCAACTTGTTTTGAGAATGTTTAGAGAAAATTTACATTTCTCTATAAACAGAACAAGCATTCAGGAGTCACAACTCCATTTTTATGTCCTGTTACTGCCTATCCCTGTGTTTCTCCCAAGCATCCATCTCCTTTATCCACCTCAACCTTTGACATGGCCTCGTTTATTACTTAACACTTAGGGGAACAGCCCCTGTGTCTTCTCAGGAGAAGCAAAAGTCCTGTGGGCAACTCTGTGTGGCTCAGAGGCAAAACAAGTGAAACTCAAAGAACTTCAAGTAGGAAGGGGAGGAAACAGGCAACAGAAAATGAGTGGAACTTCCCCATGTTTTCTACATTCAGTGCATCAGTAATGACAAGAGGCAATTCACTCCTGCTTCCCACAGACTTTTCCCACTGTCTGCATAGAAGTTATATTTGAACAACCATTTGCAAACTGAATAGTGAAAGACTGAATTCTTTAGAGCGAAGCAGTAATAAAATACATGTGAAATCCTTCAAGTACATAAACAGAGAAACTCAGAGCATCAGAGAAAACACTGGGAGTGCAAAGTGCAAAACAGTTTAAAAAATTCACACCACTTCAGAACATTACAGCTGTAATTGAAACATTTAAAAGGAAAACTAAGTGACAAACAAAAATACAGGCACCCTGCTAGCATATTCACATTAGCTCAGGCAACTCAGCCAAGTCCTGCCTATCCAAATATTAGTCCTGTCTTAGCAGTAGCCCTTCCTGGACACAGCATGTGCAGGAGAATCTCACATTCAGCCTACGAGACAATCCAAGGAAGAAACAACTCGAGTGAATTCCCCCTTCTTAGATTACTATTAGTAAATATGTTCATTTGCTCAATACCACCCTCTGTAAGTGACAATAAATTATTGGCTCAGCATGGGCCACCAAGCTTTATTTTCTCCATGCATTTCCAAGATATTTCAACAATTGGACCAGCAATTCCAGCAAACCAACAACCCAAACATCAGCCATCAGCAACATACTGACAGGAAAGTTCAGACTACAAGGGGCACTTTTGTGTTTTTGTGCTGTGAAAACTACTCTGCAGCTTGAATGAGTAAAGGTGAAGGAACTTCTTCAAAAAGGCCAGGTTGAGGGCAAAACATGTTTTCACCCTCTTTCAAAGTATGAGAGGAACAGAGTGAGCTTAGATAGTTATCTTTCCAACTTGTCAACACGTCGTGTTTGGCAGGTCAGGATACGTCACATCCATGTGATATGAGCTGAAGACCATCTCAAGCATCAAATATCTGAGATACTACAACCCTTGGGCTACAGGTAAGATGCAAACATCAGGAAAAATTATCAGGACGGAGGCTGATGTATTCTGAGCACACACAAAGGGCAATGGAGGCATCTGGAACCACACAGACTGATTGGTATTTCAACACAAGTAATTCTGATATCACATCTACAGGTGGAGGATGCTCACATACTATATAAAACTTATTGACAAACTGAGTGTACGTACACAGAGCAATTAGAACACTACCACTTGCTGTTTAATCCTATTTCAGTGTCTGCGTCTCACTTTCATCTCTGTTTTGGAGTAAATCTGCTCGAGTTTTCACAATAAAGCATTATATGTTAATATATTATGGTTCTGTTAATCAGTTTTTAAAACTTATGAAACAAATTTATATTCACTACACAGACTCCTTAAGCTCAGCATACTTAAAAAAGGATTTAATTCATTTACTTTCTTAGCAGAATTATAATGAATGTTAGCTGAAAAAATGAGATAGATGTGTTGATTTTCTGCTGCATGAAAACAAAAATTAGTGACAGAACAAGCGATTTGAAATGAGAGGAAATTTATATATATTTTGGTTTTATAGGAAGTTTGCTTATGGCTACTTCCATACTCAAATAAAAAAAAAAAACCAAACAAATTAAGGTCTTATACAGAACTTGATTTCAAACATAATGTGTGCAATTTTACACAAGCAACATTAGATGTAAAACCCTCCAACTCCGCAAAATTTTTGTTTCTATGCCATTATTTTACCGGGCAAAAAGGAACAGTCTCACATTTTAATCTGTTTAAGGCATGATTTCACTTATCCCTTTACTTTTTCTTTTAATTAATTAGATTGCCAGTCTAAACATGTCTATTTTTAATCCTGATTAGTTTCTTTTTATGCATATCAGTTCAGATTACATGTCCAATTTTTGCCAAAACTCCCAGACATGCTGGAAGTCACACAGTTACAAACTACATTAGTCTTGTTTATTGTCTGGATCTCTCATACATTCTACAGCCATAGGAGCACCTATTTTTTTCTTCTATACGTTCCTAAAAGATTGACTAATCTGAAAATCAATGCTGGTCTGTTTTGTTTTTATCAAAAGCAAGCGAATACTTGCTTCAGAAATTATAATAATTAAGCCCTCATCTAATAGGGGTAAACCAGACAGAAGTTAACAAATTCACAATTATTTAAAACCATTTCAGTGTAGGTAAGGTTTTATTATTTTTAAAACAGATTAGCTTCTCAGAGTCAATCTTCACCAAAGAACTGTGACACTTCAAAAGACAGTTCATTCCCCTATTTCAAACACTACTCCTGGACTAGTACAGTGCTACCTCCTCTAATTTTTTGGGACAAAATGGATTCTCCCCTTTACAAAAAGTAAGAACATACTAGATTTCAATAGTTTTTCTTTTCCTTTATCCAAGAAATGGAATGGGCAGTTGAAGATTGTCTTGCAGACACATGAGTACTACAGGACATGATAACAGATCACATTTTTTTCCCAAGTCTTTCCAGTTCGGATATAAGTTCATAAAAACAGGAAGCAAGAAACTCAAGCGCTAGAAAAAAACCTAATAATCAGGCAGAGCTCGAGACTTCCTTGATTTAAGATGCAATCAGTTCTAAGTCTTGAAATCAAACTTCATGGGCATGATTATGAGATTCTACATAGCCTTGTGACTTTAACATGGCTAAGTAGAAAAGCACGCCTTTGGAACAGCATATAAGGTTAAACATCATTCATCTCACACAAGAACAACCAGAGAAAGTAAGGGTTCAAAGGAACACTTGCTTATAAACAACCTACTCAATTTTGTCCCCACTGAAAAAAACTGTCCAAAGCAATTAGTTTGGCATCAACACTGAATTTGACCTCAGGCTAAAGCTATTGGAAACACTTGTATGTAATTTTCAGTTCTACTTAGCACTACGACATATATCCTTAGGCAAATACCCTAGAATTTATAAATGAGCTTATACTTTACATAATATATCTGTAACAAAAAGCAGTCTTTAGAATATACCATATTTATACTAAATACAAGTTAATATAGTATGCCTGCTTTACACAATACTGAGAAATCTTGAAATTATGACAAATATTGCTCAGATATTTCCATTTGTTGCAAAGTTGGGGCTTTTCTAATAAAGTACTACTTTTGTAATTTTCTTATTTATAAACAGGTTAGTTTTTAGATTGGCGTAGCCACAGCAGCAAAATTAAGAATAACAAAATTATCTGGGGGACAAATTCTCAAAAAATATTCATAAGTATTCTTATATTCATGAATCTGTGTGACATCACTGACAATCAGTCCAGTCTAACTTAAAGCCATGTCTATTTTCCTGAAAAGTATCTGATGCTGGTCTTTGTTAGAGGCACAGATACCAAATGCAGGTCTGCAAGCTGCTGTGTGAGGGTGTATGACAAAGTTCTGACAAAGTAATATGCAGGATTAAAACGTCTCAAAGGTCCTTTCGTCTAATTTAGGACATACCACACACATTCCAGTAGTTTAAAAACAATAAAAAACCCAAACAGAATGTAAAACAGTACCTTCCTAGATTATTGGCACATTCTCCCCTCACCAAGAAAATACAGCCAGCAATTAAGTATCAATATTCTTAGTACAAGTAAGACTCATATAGATACATATATACATATACACTAATCAGTAGGCAGCTAATGACTTAATGTCTGAAAAACAACTGTTCTCACCAACAGTGTTTTGTGATATGGAAAACTACTGAAAAAAATCTTACCTTCACCTAACAAATAACATGTAACAAAAACCTGTTTATTTGTATTCCAAGTGACTGGTGAGGGAAGAAAAAGCAAGAGAGGAAGGGATGGTATTTAAGGTATTTCATTTACCCTTACTTACCAGGAGATTCTCCTGACAGATCCGGGGCTTGGGCTGAATCTAAAGAAGAAACCACACTGACAGCATTTGTAGGAACACCAACTGCAGCTGTAGAAGAGGAAATGGTTGATTTCTTCGGTGGTACAACAACACTCCTAGGTGAAGACAGAAAGTCAGTAAATCTTACTGTGTGTGAAGGTTCAAACATCGTGATCCATGCTTTTAATTCTAGCAGTTATGCTTCTATGTCCTGCAAAAGTACCATTCCTTCCCTACTTTCTTTTTCCATCATCTTTTGTAACCCACCTTAACCTAAAGGACACCTCATCCTTGTTTATGGTACACTTCAACATCTCGTCCACTTCCACAAAATCCCTGACAAACAATCACACAGTTTGAAGATCACCAGCGTAACTGTTTGGCAACTGGGTTTTTCTTTTCTCCTTGGTTTCCCCCCAAGAGTTGGTTTAAAACTTGAGGCAACATTTACAAAAGACGTTATAGTATTCAAAGTTAAAATATTAAGGTGAATTATCAAGATCAAAGATTGTCTTGAAGTCTACTACTGCTGGGATTCTAATGCAGAACAGAAGAATGACTGAAGAAGGATATACTATGGCTAAAAATATCCTAACACACATCCACGTGCACATACAAACATTCACACATCTTAAAAATATGTCTATGAATTTCAGTACATCTTGTCAATCGAGTTTTATTAACAAACCAAAACATTCTTTGGAGTTAAGAGAGAATCTCCATCCTTTCTACAAGTTAAATGTCAGGACTTACAGTCATCATTAAAGACTACATCAGAGGCAAAGATGCAAAGTGACAAGTTAGGCACGGAGATTTATCTGACATGTTACTAAGACATCTATTTACGCCATATACCAATTTCAATTAAATGGTAGTACTTTATTCCAAATACCTAAAAGGCCTTGTTAAGCATACGTTAAAGGCATTTTTAATTGCAAGTTAGCTCCATAAACATGCAAAACCCCAGCTAATGAGGTAAATAGTACAGCTGATATATAATGTACTCCCACTGCAGCGCTTACTTTTAATTACCTGGTGTTAACCATAAGCCGAAAATCTTCAACATTCAATTTATTTAATCACATCTTTTGTTGACGGTAATATAACTACACACTGAAAGTATTCCCTTAATAGCTTTAAAATATTCATTTTTCTAAATAAAATAACTCAGAAACTTGACCTAAATTCAGGTGTGATAGCAACCAAAGAAATTCTGTCAAATATTTCTAAAACAGTTCTTGCTAGAACGGGGAGAGGAGGACTGACTGTATTGGACTCCCTCCTTCAGTCACAAGATGTCAAAAGATGTCACAGAAGCTAGACCACGTTACTGATTAAATCAACCCTCCTTAATGGCAGGAGTAGGCAGGCACCATACTTGGAGGCAGTACATGTCATATCATTATAAGGGTGACTGCTAATGTTAACTAGTCACTAAAAAAATAGAAGCAACAACACCTGAGCCCCAAGTCAAGATACTGTGCCTAAACCATGAATTTTCCTCTTATGTTCATGTCTGCTTCCCTGAAATATGAACAATGGACTTTAAAATATATATATATTTAGACAGTTTTCTAAATTATAACCACATTACCAATTAATTTTGCATCACCCAGGTTTAAGAAGGGGATCTCTCACTCAAGATTCTGTGACATTCACTGCCTAGAACTGTTACTACTATTCTATAACACACATTCAAATACCTGGAAGGGGTGTGGAAATGAATACATGTTTTGAATGAATACATTTGTACGCAAATTCACCTACACATAGTAAACTTTCAGACATTTCTACAACATTCATGATTACAGCACTGAAGCCCAGGTGTATTCCTTTACAGACTTTTAAGTTCTTTTACTGTATAGATATCTAATACAAGAAACACTAATCAATAATATGAAACCCAAAATCATGCAGACAGATTATAAATACATGTCTAGCCAGGGGGACTCCATGAGATCTTACTGCATGATCTGGAAAAATTTCTTTGCACACCCATTGAGTTACAGAAACAATATCCTTCTGCTGCTAGCTAATATAGATACAATTATATTGGATGCAAGGTGATATGGGTGGGAGAATGCTTAGTGACAAATTTTGGTGCATGTGTAGATGGAAGTTGTGAACACACAGGTTGTGTCTGTTCAAAACATGTAATTTATGTAATTAATTCTAAATTGGAAAACATCACATGACCTTGAGGATAAAAACAAATCTTGTAGAGAACCTTTCTGCTTCCAGGGCTTATAGTCCATCAGAATTCTCTCAAAACATCCAGTCAGAAGGGCTGTGTCTTCTGAATGCCTACAAAGGCTACTGATCCTATTCTCTGACACTAGAGCCCCAGGAACTAGGAAACAGGTTGCATTATAAGCTTATAAGCTGTAAAGAACAAGCCAGAAGCACACCTTAAAAAAAAAAAAAGGTTGAATTTTGATTTATGTTATATTTTGGAAAACACTCCTTTTATATAAAAATCAGGGACTAAACATGTTAGAAAGATCAAGAAGGAGTTTTAGAACAGGAGTAAGTTTTAGCACTACTAGAAGCAGCTCCTCACAGGGCAAGTAACAGCTCTGGAACTGCCTGGGATCAAGGAAGCCCAAATGCAGACAGAGCTGTTACCTTAACACTGCTCATCTGCAGCTGACAATGAGTGCAGACAAAAGAAATCCCAGCTACAAGCGCCTTCTGTTCTCTGTGCTGTTTATGACAAAACATTACATATTATCATTCCTTCCTGCAAACTTCTACTGACCTTCAGTGTTCTTAAGTGTAGTTGCACTGAGGGAGCAGTTTCAGCAAGTTGTCAGACTCTCTACAGCTACCCAAGGAAAGACGTGTTCAAGCAAAGGAATTCAGACTTTATTTCCCCCCCCCGGGCTGCAACAGACAG